ACATCAATGGTCTAAATATATCCATTAAAAGATAGAGATTATCAGAGTGGATCAAAAAATAGGACCCGGGCTTCCCTGGTGGCGCAGTGGTTGAGAGTCCGCCTGCCGATTCAGGGGACACGGGTTCGTGCCCCGGTCCGGGAAGATCCCACATGCCGCGGAGTGGCTAGGCCCGTGAGCCATGGCTGCTGAGCCTGCGCGTCCGGAGCCTGTTGCTCCGCAACGGGAGAGGCCACAACAGCGAGAGGCCCGCGTACCGCAAAAAAAAAAAAAAAAAAAAATAGGACCCAGCCATATATTGCCTAAAAGAAACCCACTTGAAATATAAAGATACAGTTAAGTTAAAAGTAAAGGCATAGAGAAAGATATACCATACTAAGACTAATCAAAGCTGGAGTAGATATATTTCAGACACATCAGACCTCCAAGCAAGGAAAATTATCAGAGATAAAAAGGGGCATTACATAATGATAAAGGGGTCACTTCTCTAAAAAGACATAATAATATATAATACGTATGTGCATAACAACAGAGGGTCAAAATATGTGAGGCAAAAACTGATAGAAAAGCAAGGAGAAACAGATGAATCCAACTATTGTAATTAGAGATTTCACCACCCCTCTAACAGAAATGGACAGATTTATCAGGCAGAAAATCAGTAAGGACATGATTGAACTCAACAGCACCATCGGTCAAGTGGATATAATTGACATCTATAGGCTATTTTATCCAACAACAGAACACACAGTCTTCTCAAGCTCACATGGAACATTCTCCAAGACAGACCACATTCTGGACCATATAACACACCTAAATAAATTTAAGAGAACAGAAATCATACAATGTCTGCTCTCAGATAATAATGGATAATAATCGAATTAAATTAGAAATCAACATTATATAGCTAGGAAATCTCAAAATACTTGGAGATTAAACAGGAAAAAAGGCAAGGATGTCACCACTCCTTTTCAATATCATACTGGAAGTCTTAGCTAATTCAATAAAAGAAGAAAATGAAACAAAAAACATATACTTTGGGAAGGAAAAAATTACTTTTCCTTGCAGATGACATGATTGTCTATGTAGAAAATCCCAAAGAAACAACAACAACAAAAATCTCCTGGAATAAGAAATTGTAGCAAGGTTGTACAAAATAAGGTTAATATAGTAAAGTCAATCACTTTTCTATTTACCAGCAATAAACAAGTGGAATTTGAAACTAAAAACAATACCATTTACATTAGTACCCCCCCAAAAAAATTCAGGTATAAATATAAATATAACAAAATATGTGCAAGTTATATATGAGGAAAACCAAAAAAGTCTGATGAAAGAAATCAGAGAATAACTAAATAAATGGAAAGACAGCCATGTTCATGGATAGAAAGACTCAAGATAACAAGATATCAATTCTTCCATACTCCATCTATAGATTCAATGCAATCCAAATCAAAATCCTAGCAAGTTATTTAGTGGATATCGACAAACTGATTCTAAAGTTTATATGGAGAGGAAAAAGACCCAGAATAACCAGTACAACATTGGAGAAGAAGAAGAAAGTCAAAGGCCTGCCACTATCTGACTTCAAGACTTACTTTAAAGCTACATTAATCAAGACAGTGTGACACTGGTGAAAGAATAAACAAAAAGATCAATGGCACAAAACAGAGAGCCAAGAAATAGACTCATAAATAAAGTCGACCAATCTCTGACAAAGGAGCAAAGGCAACATAATGGAGCAACGACAGTCTTTTTAACAAATGGTGCTGGAAGAAATTCATGTCTAATTTCTTACACCCTTCACAAAAATTAACTCGAAATAGATCATAGACCTAAACATAAAACACACAACTCTAAAACTCTTAGAAGATGACACAGGAGAAAACCTAGGTGACCTTGGGGATGGTGGATTTTTTAGATACAACACCAAATGCACGATCCATGGAAGAAATAATTGATAAGCTGGATTTCATTAAAATTAAAAACTTTTGCTCTGTTAAAGGCACTGTCAAGAGAAAAAGAAGATAAGCCACAGACTGGGAGAAAATATTTGCGGAAGACACACCTGATAAAGGACTGTTATACTGGCAAGTATGTGCAGTAGCAGGCACTCATAACTTGCAGGTAAGGAAAAAAGAAAAAAAAGCCAGCTTGAAAAACGTCAGTTTGAGAGTTTCTTACGAAAATAAACATTTTCTTACCATATAATCACTCCAAAGGAGTTGAAAACTTATGGCCACATAAAACTCTGCACGTGCATATCTATAGCAAATTTATTCATAATTGCAAAACTTAGAATCAACTGAGATGTACTTCAGTAGACAAACAGATAAATGAACTGTGGAACATCCAGACCATGTAATATTATTCAGCACTAAAAACGAATGATCTATCAAACCATAAAAAGACATGGAGGAACCTTAGATGCATATCACTAAGTGAAAGACGTCAATCTGAAAAAACTACATACCGTATGATTCCAACTATACAACAACATTCTGGAAAATGTAAAACTATGGAGATGTTAAAAAGACCAGTGGTTGCCAGGGATTAAAGGGGAGAGAGGGATGAATAGAGCACAGAGAATTTTTAGGGCTGTGAAACTACTCTGTCTCATATTATAGGAGTGGATACACGTCATTACACGTCCGTCAAAACCCACAGACTGTACAACACTGAGTAAATCCTAATATAAAGATGGACTTCGGGTGATAATGACGTGTCACTGTAGGTTTATCAATTGTAACAAATGTACCACACTGGTGGGAACGTTGATACTGGCGGAGGCTGTGCACGTGTGGGGCAGGGGATATATGGGAAATCTCTGTACTTTGCTCTCAGTTTTGCTATAAATCCAAAATCGCTCTAAAAATAAAGTCTATTTAAAAAAAAAAGATTTTATAAAAAGGGAATGATAAACCCAAAAGTCAGGTTATCTTTGTGGAGGGAGTGAAAGGAGGTGATGGAGTTATTATGGGTGCAAACAAAGGGCTTGTAGGATTCTGGTTAGCTCTTAAGCTGAGCGGTTGGCACCCAAATGGACCCCTAATGACTTTTCTTTGTCACTGGATTTACCACCCTTAGTGCTGACCTTAGGAGTAATAGCTGCCTGAGATAACTTTTCCTTTTCGTTTAAACCCCATTTTCAGTTTTGCTTTCCAGTTTTCATAGTTAAAATCACCCAAACGGATACAATCTCTTAATTTGGATGTAGTACAACTGGGCTATGATTTAGCATAAGCCATCACTTAATCCTATTTTGTTTGCCTAAGTGTATCATTAAAGCCTTAGATTATTAGTTACCCCCAAGTATGAAAAAAGATTTTGTCTGGGAAGAACAGACTGTCATTAAAACAACTCAGCATTTTTCCAGTCCTAAGAGGCATCTTCCTTGAAAACATTCTGATTAAGCATGTGTGATAACAAGGGCAATCAAGATCTTTTTTTTTAAATCTATAAATCACCAAACAGATAAGGAGTCAGGCTATTACTCTTGCCCTCGGCAGGGAGCTTAATCTGGCCGGAAGATCACTCATTTCCCATTGGAGCCACAGGCTGGAGGTCAGACCACGGGGCTGAATTTCAGTTCTTGAAAGGAGTGCAAAGAAATGAAAAGATTTCGTTCAGAAAGGAGCATGTTCTCTGATGTTTCGGCCAGAGGAATAAAGAATGATAGCATCTCCACAGAAAAGTCTTATACTGGAGACTGTGTCCTGCTAAGGAAATAAGACCTCCAGCCCACCTACCTGCAGACAGAAAGAAATGGGCAAACAAGAAAAAGGGGCCAACAGAGGGGCCTACATAAGAACACACCATTAATTCTATCTATCAGACATTTTACGAGGTAAGCTCTTCACCTTCATGGTTTCACTTAATCCTCCAAACAACCCTGCAAAGGTGAGTCTGCTCATTTGACAGGTGAACGTGCAGACAGCGGTAGCAAGCTGCCAAAGATTGCCCACTAGCGACTGGTGGAGCCGAGGTTCAAGCCTATGTCTGGCTGTGAATGGATAAAGAAGATGTAGTACATATAGACAACGGAATATTACTCAGCCATAAAAAAGAATGAAATAATGCCATTCGCACCAACATGGATGGACTTAGATTTTATCATATTACGTGAAGTAAGCCAAACAGAGAAAGACAAATACCATATGGTATCACTTATATGTGGAATCTAAAAAAATGATACGAATGAACTTATTTACAAGACAGAAATAGACCCACAGACATAGAAAACAAACTTATGGGTACCAAAGCGGGAGGTGGGGGGAGGGATAAATTAGGAGTTTGGGATTAACAGATACACACTACTATATATAAAACAGATAACCAACAAGGTCCTACTGTATAGCACACGGAACTGTTATCAATATTTTGTAATAACCTATAAGGGAAGAGAATCTGAAAAAGAATATATATATATATATATATATACACACACACATATGCACATATGTGTGTATGTATATATATATACACATATATGTATATATAACTGAATCACTTGCTGTACACCTGAAACTAACACAACATTGTAAATCAACTACACTTCAATATAAAAAAAAAATACTGTATCTGTCTGACTCTAAAGCTCATGCTCTTTGCTTTATATCATACAGGAAAACAACAAGGATTACTGCAGAACTCGGTCTTAAAGCATTACCTCTTAGCAGGGGCTACAAGGCTGCACCCAGCATCTCTTGCCTTCTCCTGTCAAGTGCAATGCTGGCCATACCAGGAAGATGTGGACCCAGCTGAACTTAGCAGGATTCCATTAGGAAGAGGGATTGCTACCATCCTTGGTTCCAAGACCACCAAGCCTGACCCTCACCTCTGTCAGCCACCTCACACATGCGTCACCTCGGCCACAAGAGGAACAAGGTGAAAAAAAGGAGGGTTTGCTCAAGGCAACTACACCCCTGTCTGCCCCTGTCCAGCTTCGCCGTGAAGCTACCTCTCTCGATGCTTGTTCTACCGCCAGTGATTTCCACCATTACCTAAGGTCCAACATGAGACGGCCCTCAGGAGGGAGGTGCTGCTGTAGATGGCGTGCATGTACATAAAATGAATCATCAGCTCCGCCAGCCACCAACAGGAGAGGAGGCGGCCCAGCCCCCGGGCAAGGATGGAAAGGCTGGCCTTGGGCGAGCCCTGCTCCTGCCGCTGCATCTAGAGTAGAAACAGAAGAAGTCATTAGATGGCACCTCCATTTTTTTTTTTTTTTAAAGAAGATGTTGGGGGTAGGAGTTTATTAATTAATTAATTTATTTTTGCTGTGTTGGGTCTTCGTTTATGTGCGAGGGCTTTCTCTAGTTGTGGCGAGCAGGGGCCACTCTTCATCGCGGTGTGCGGGCCTCTCACTGTCGTGGCCTCTCTTGTTGTGGAGCACAGGCTCCAGACGCGCAGGCTCAGTAGCTGTGGCTCATGGGCCTAGTTGCTCCGCGGCATGTGGGATCCTCCCAGACCAGGGCTCGAACCCGTGTCCCCTGCATTAGCAGGCAGATTCTCAACCACTGCGCCACCATTTTTAAAACCTTTCAGAGTCCCCTAGACACGTTTTTATAAATTTTCATTTTCGCTGTATCTTCTAAGGGAGGGCTGGTTTAGTTTGCCTTGGGAACACTTGGCGTTCTCGGGTGAAAAAAAACATGTCCAACAAATACCATATGATATCACATATGTGTGGAATCTAAAAATTATGAGACAAATGAACTTATTTACAAAACAGAAATAGACCCACAGACATAGAAAGGAAACTTACGGTGACCAAAGGGAAAAGGGAGTAGGGATAAATTGGGAGTTTGGGATTAACAGATACACACTACTATATATAAAATAGATAACAAACAAGGACCTACGGTAGACACAGTAATATATTACAAGATGTTCAATATCTTGTAATAACCTATAATGGAAAAGAACCTAAAAAAGAATAGATAGATAACTGAATCACTTTGCTGTACAACTGAAACTAACAGAACATTGTAAATCAACTATATTTCAATAAAAAAAAACTTTTTTAAGTCATGTCCAAGCTAGAAAACTCTGTCCAAGAGCAAGAAAAGGGTAGAGGCCACAAGCTAGCCCAGTGCCGAGAACCAAGAAGGGGTTCCGCATCCCTTCACCCCAGCAGCAGCCCTGCCAAAACCCAGGATGGAGGGCAGTTCCTGATGTATCCTAGACAAACACAGAAAAACAAGAGAGCGCGTATAAGTTTTCCGGATCTTACACTGACACGATTTTATTAGACTGAAGGCTGCCTGGAAATGCAGAGGTGAAGTGACGGCCTTAATTATGAAGTTGTATCTGCACACATTATCTGGCAGAGGATATGGACTTGGTTCAGCAAGGGCTTGACAATTAGGGCTCCAGACACTACATGAACAAGAGAGGCCCATCCCTAGGGGAAGGTGATCCTGACATGCTTCTTTAACTTCTCCTCTCCTCTAACCATCAAGGCGCAGTGGGTCCCACGGCAGCCAGGAGGGGCGGCAGGCACTGCCCTTGGAGGTGATGGGCTATCTACACTCCAAGGAGTTAATTTCTATTCCATTCTTGAGCATCTATTCTACCACGGTCTCAAACGGGCCTCTTACAGCAAGAAACCAGACCAAGAAATTATACGCCCAGGAAAGCTGTTGTTTTAAATTTTTTAATGTAAGTTGATCAAATTAACAGGAATTTCCTTTCATTTTCTTCAGTTCACCTCAGAAAGATATTTATTAGGAAACAAAAGTAACTGCTTTGAAGGATCCACCCAGCCAAGTTTGACAGGGGAAGCGCTAGCTGGGAAGGTTATCCAGGAAGGAAGGTGGGACACAGGGGAATTTGCAGTCATGCAGGGATCACAGCTCACTGCAATTATAGCCGCCGCAGCACAGGGACCCAATGCAGACCCCTTTCCCTCCCTAGGCATAACTGAGGGTGGTTTTCATATGAATCCTTACGTCAAGCGTTCATGCTACAAAGTCTGGAGCAGAGCATCGACAAGCCAGTGGATGGAGAAATCCTCAGTGAGAGACCCCCTACCTGCCCGATCCCTTGTGTCTGCATTATATAATTGAGAAGAAAAAGGAAATAACCCAAACTTCCAACAGTATGGGCTTGGGGCTTGGTTAAATGCATGAGTGCGCCTCAATCTTATGTAGCCGTGCAAACTATTTTTTGATATAAATGTGCATAAATAAAGAAAGGCTGGAGACACAGACACCAAAATGGCAGCAGTGATGGTAATCTTTGGATACTAAGATTCTTGTTATTTTTTAACTATTATTATTTTTGTAATCAGGGCAAAAAGTAATGTAACTTTACGATATCGTGAAGACTTTTGTCCTCTCTGTTAAAGAGGAAAGCCCTCTGTTTCTGCAGCCTTCTTGTAAAAAATGCCGAGTCTCAGGACCTCCCCAGGGGAGCCCAGCATCCTCTCTATGAACAAGCAAGCCTGTCTCTCTTTTGTGCTACCCATCTTTATTTTTCCTTACCTTCCCACCTCACTCGGAGACTTTCTTAGTTACACACTTAGTTGCCCTTTGTTCATTCTCAATCCTTTTTCAGCTCTGTAAAGCAAACTCATTTTGACCAAATGACCATCAGCAAATGAAGAAACAATTACGAATACAGTGTCCATTAGTCTATGGAGGCTAGAACAGTTCACACCAAGGCAACTGGGGAAGCTAAGACATGAAGAGGCACCTAAAACCATTCCAGACCAACAGAAGGGGCCTTTCTTGGTGCCAGACTCTTGGAGGAAAGCAGATTCCCTGAATGAATGTGATAACGACCTCAAAAGCAGTGCTGACAAAAGACAATCTTTGCACAACTGTCTCCAGTGTTCCCAAATAAGCAACTATGCACATGGCCTGCAGGCCCCTGAGCAGTTGCCTAACCCCAAGCTCAGGTCCCCTGAAGACCAGAACCGCACCCGAGGCCTTGGAGCATCACTGGGTGTGCAGCCCCATCCCAGGGAGAGGAGAAGCATCTAGAAAGGAGGGAAGCCACTGTGAGATCAGAACAAACTGCCACGCCAGGCCATCAGGAAAATAAGTCTGTCCGATCACCTCCAGCTCCAGGCGACCACATCTTAAGGTCAGTCCAGAGGCCCTCCTTTCCTTCCCCAAACAATGCGCGGTCTAAAATGACACGAGTATCTGTAATTAAGAAGAAACATGAGATGCATTTTGTGACTGACTGGCCTTCCAATAATGACTTCCCTACTTTCCCCAGGGCCAAACTCGCTCTCCAGGTTTAAAAAGGCATGCTTATGGGCTTCCCTGGTGGCGCAGTGGTTGGGAGTCCGCCTGCCGACGCAGGGGACACGGGTTCGTGCCCCGGTCCGGGAGGATCCCACATGCTGCGGAGCGGCTGGGCCCGTGAGCCATGGACGCTGGGCCTGTGCGTCCGGAGCCAGTGCTCTGCAGTGGGAGAGGCCACAACAGTGAGAGGCCCGTGTAGCAGAAAAAAAAAAAAAAAAAAGGCATACTTATGTGTCACCACTGGACCAGAAGGGCTGGACTTTTCTCTGCAATGCTCCCTTTTTGATGCTGGAGGCACTTTTCTCTGCAATGCTCCCTTTTTGATGCTGGATGCCTCCCCATCCAGAGTAAGAGAAACGTCTATTCCTTAATTGCACAAGTAAACACAGCAGAAGGAAAACAATCCAATTTTTCATTTTATTTGCTTTTACTTAAAAACATGGTTATTAGTCTTTCTTCAGAGTTGTGCTGTTATTACAGCCCATTTATATTTGTCCCTTGTCAATTCATCAGCAGGAAAAGACACACGATACACAGCTCACCTAACGAGCAGGGCTGCTCGCTATCCAACCTCTGCACGCAAAGCGTTTCACTTGAGATATTTCAAACTGAGGGGAGTGCCAATCTTAAGACCAATGGAAACTGCCGTCAATGGGAATTTTTAGTTAAGCCTCCACTAAAAACTACACCTTAACTCATCTGCGAAGCGCATTTTAAAACACGTTGTATTTTAAAACCTCATTTCATGCAAATTGCATAAAAAGGAATATCGAAGCCCTCCAAAGATATTCTAATGATTAAAGATGACAGTGCTCAAAGATGAAAGGTTCTTTTCTTTCGCATACGAATAATACCCATGTTGGAGAGCACCAAACAGAAGCCTCCCCTAGAGGCAACTGCTCAACTGAGTTACCTCTGCTCCAACCTCCACACTTGGGTCAAGGGCACTGTAGCCCGCGTCTGGCTCCTTTGTAACACGGGAGCTTCTCTCCAGCCCAGGGTCATAGACCGTGCCCCTACTCCCAGGAAATCATTCCCTAATCAGACCCTCACTGCCCCTCCCCAGCATCCGGACCAAGGCCAGTAGTACCGAGTGGTCTCTGGCAGAACAGCAAGTAGGGCCTGCAGTTGGTGTAGCTGTCACAGGACTGGGACCCGGTCTGGCCAGCTTGAGCCTCCAGGCCCGCACGTCCACCAGGCCACACTGCTTCCTCCCTCTAACTCCTGTGCGGCTCACCGAGCTGGCGACAAGGCTCTGTCTGGTCTTCGTCCCTCCCACCCCAACGCGCATTGCGTTAGCCTGTCCTTGCCTCTGTGTTACCGTCTGTGAAGTGGGAGTAAGGACAGTGCCTCTCTCCTGGGGTTGTTGCCCGGGTGAAAGGCATCAGAACATGGAAAGCCTGGTTAGGAGTAAGTGCTCGGTTAGGGTTACTTCTCACAGTTAGCACCATTCCAGATGCGCCCTAGAACCAGAGCCCACCCCATACCCTGAGTGGTTTGTCTGGGACGCTGACTGCCAGGCCTGGTCCTTCAGGGGCTGGGCCCGCCCCTGCACCTGCAGCCACTGCCTGCATCTGTCTTCCGCTGGCCTCCTCTGAGATCAAGGATGGTCCCTGCCCAGAATCCTGCCCAGCATGGCCTCTGCTGTGGCCCTCACCTATCAGCCTGGACACCCAGGGCCTCAGTTCTGGCATAAACTTATGTTAGTTCTCACCCTCGGGAGCTTCCCTGGGTGAAATCTGAAACTGGCCCCTTGTACACAGAGGGCGAGGAGAGACCAAAGAAAAACAGCCAGATCATTCCGGGTTGGCAGGTGGCAGGTTTAATAAGCAAGGGAGCTTACAGATGAGCCTTGTCTTGGGCGCTGAAAGGCAAGTAGATCTCTGCATCCACTGGCCAGAATTTTAAAGTTTAAATAGAGGCCTTACCTGGGTTTAGTCCCATAGTCAATTCAGATGGTCTCAACAACACCTTTCTCGTTCAAGGTCAAGGCTATGTCCCTGAAATGGCTCCTAGTGTGGGAATGGCAGGCAGAACGCATATTCCAAGGGCAGGGGAGGGGTGAACAGCCTCCAACAGCCCAGGTCCAGACTGCAGGTCAACCAGTGGTCACATCCTTTCAATGCCCTCCTCCAACAACTTACCCTAGAAATGCCCCTGCTTTTGGATAACAATAACAACAATAATAGTAATAGTTAACACCTCATAGTGTTACATGTCAAGCCCCACTATCTATACAAAATCGTTTAATCCTTATGACAACCCTGTGAGGGAGGTATCATTACTTTTCCCATTTCATTGATAAGGACACTGAGTCACAAATAAGGTGAGTAACTCACCAAAAGCTCTCAAGACAAAGCAGAGCAGGGATTCAAACCCTGTAACAATAGGATTGGGTGCAAGAGTCTTTGCTCTTAACCACCAACCTAGTTCCCTATTTGAGCACTGGCTCTTCCCCTCGGGGCAGGAACACAGCCCTCAGCAAGGAAAACCCCCTGGTCCTCCCACACCCAGGCTCACCGTCCCCCCCATATCAGCTCCTCCCTCACTTCATGATTCAACCTGCTCAGAGTTAAGATGTGGTGGGCCCAGGCTCCCAGCTCAGCAAATAAACAGCATTTCCTGCCTTTCCCTAGACCTCCCCGACCCTGTCCCCCGACCTCACCCCCGGCTCCGTATCTGAGTTCCATAGAACCCTGGGAGAAAAATAAACGGGGCCCATATTCCTGAAACTCCAAATGCCATCAGAGATGGCCTTCAAGTTAAGGCACTGAGGCCTGTTGACAGGCACATTTTCCCCTGTTCATGATTGATGTGTACACATTTCACATGCCATACATTACAGAGGCACCTCTTCTATACTTGACTCATCTTGGATATGTAAATTTACACACTAAAAAAAAAAAAAAAAAAAAAAAAAAAAAAAAAAAAAACCTGGGTGAAAGAGAACATTCTCCCAGGGTGGGCCTAGTACTGTAAATTTATGGACTGTGGTTTGCCCAGCTGGGTTCGTCTCCACGGTGAGGCTCTGCTGCCCCCTGGTGGCAAGTCTCTCCCTGCTCTTTAGAGTTTGTGAACGTTGACCTGAGAAGCTAAGAGCCAAAATTTCAATATTACCATTTCCTGTTAACATTTATTCATTCACACAAGCACTCGTTCAGAGCAAACCTTACTTACAAGCTCTTCCAGTTGGCTTTCTTCTGCCCCCTCCCGGCTTCTCTGAAGGAGCCCTTTCACTACTAGATTAGCTCCCTAGTTTAAATGCTCTCCTTTTAGACCCATTTTTCTCACAGGAGGTTAAGTGCCCCCTACACACCCCCAGCAAGTGCAGAAACCACCTGGCTTGTTTTTATTGCCCTGTAGCTTATTAAACATTTTGCCTTTTCTAGACTGACTTTTCTATGAATCTTCTCAGACCACAGAGAAAGGTTTCAACTTGCCTTTTTGAGTTCCCTGCTTTCGGCAATTGTTACCACTTTGAAAGGGGTAAAAAAAACAGAGAGAGGGGACATAGATGGTACCTGGAGTCTCCAGACCTGACTCCCTACAGGGAGAAACCCCTTCATTTCCCCAGGCTGAAACTCAAAAACAAGAGCCTTTGGCTAAGGATTTAGGTGAGCGATAATCTCAAAGCTCGCCTCTGTGTAACATATTCAGGACCCCGAGACCCGCCTCTCATATTCCCTCAAGACCCTACAGGGTACAATCAGAAAGGAGGAGACAGACAAGAACTAAGAAGAATGATGATTTGCCTAACAACAAAGTACAGATCCCATAGGGCTAAGCTCCTTAATGGATAAGAGGCAGTTAGGAAAATAATTTGTTTCCCCTTTTTTTATATATATAAATTTATTTATTTTATTTTTGGCTGCATTGGGTCTTGGTTGCTGCGCACTGGCTTCCTCTAGTTGCGGCGAGCGGGGCCTACACTTCATTGCGGTGTGCGGGCTTCTCATTGCGGTGGCTTCTCTTGTTGCGGAGCACAGGCGCTAGGCGCACGGGCTTCAGTAGTTGTGGTGCATGGGCTCAGTAGTTGTGGCTCGCGGGCTCTAGAGCGCAGGCTCAGTAGTCATGGCGCACGGGCTTAGTTGCTCCACGGCATGTGGGATCTTCCTGGACCAGGGGTCGAACCCGTGTCCCCTGCACTGGCAGGCGGATTCTTAACCACTGCACCACCAGGGAAGTCCCAATTTGTTTCCTCTTAATGGGTTTAGTCTATGTTTCTCTGAGAATTATCTGTCTTCAAGGGAGGGGTGGGGGTGTGCTTGTGGATGTTTAGTCCAAAAGTTATTGACTGCAACGTTAGAATTAAAAACTTACAGTGGCAAGGAGGTTGTAAAGGAGACAAAATTCGGAGAACCTGAACCCACCCTACCCTGGGTCTACCCCACCCTCACCCAACCCCCTGCTCTTCTAAGAACTTCGGATAGTGGTTCTCTACCTCTAACAGCATCAGGACCACGCTGCTGGGCCCCGCCCCCGGGTTCCTGATTCATTAGGTCTGGGGAGGGGCCTGAGAATGTGCATTTCTGACAACTTCCCAGGTGATACTGTAGCTGCTGGTCCAGGGACCACACTTTGAGAATCACTGAGTTAGAAGATCAGCTGCCATCACTAAACCACCTCTTTCTTTTACACAACAATTTTAACCATGAATTTCAAACACAGATTTTAAATTCCTTCATGGCAAAAGAACGATCCTAGATAACCCAAACTGAGGTATGAGAAACCATGTACTAAACATACCTCTGCCCAGGATATCAATTTCACTTAAAGAGTTGCAGAGAGGAAAACATTCAGTGATTTAACTGGCAATTTTTAAACATTAAGTTATTGTTATAATGCAGAAATATACTTCTGAGTACAATGTGCAACTCAGTGAAATTTTTAAGATGAATTAAGGGATTTCTAAGAACCCTCCTATTTGTGCAGGGGGCACCTTTCAGGTTGCCCTCCGAAAATGTCAAACACTGCTGCTGGCCCTGCTCTTCAAACTATGTGTCCAGGCCCCAGTGTGTGTGCACATGTGTACATGTGTGTGCTTGCACATGTGTGCACTGTGTGTGCATACGTATTATTGTTCTCACCTCCATGGGGATTGTTTTGTTGGGGGGAGGGAGACAGGAATGTCCTTTGAGAAACACTGTTTTTCGAGAACATCAATTGTTTACTCACACTTTAGGTGAATTAACTTAGTACGCGTGTTCCACGAGGCTAGCTGTGGAATGAGGAAAAAAATCCGAACTAGGAGGAAAAGTGAGGTGGCAATGACGAAGGTGGCTTCCCATGAGCTTCAGACAAGGCTGCTGTCCAGACAAGGCTGCTGTCCAGAAGTAGAGAGGCGAGATCCTGGGCAGAAACAGGCACCCAGACCCGAAAGCACACCATTGCTCTCAAACCCTCTTCAACTCCACTCTGTTATCCCATCCAGATCGCCCTGAACAATTCCCAGGCCACGGCAGAGCTATTTCATCAGCAGTTTGTGAAAATAAAAGGGTACTTATTATTTGCCAAACAAGAGCTTAGCCAGTTCCTCCTTCCACTTTCCAAGTAATACCACGAGAAGCCAGTTTTCTTTCTCTGGGACGGCCCTGCAGGGGATGCCTACCCCCAAGTTCCTGGCTGTGCCCAGTTATTATTTCTGGCTGCCACAGTCCACAGAGAATCCTACAACCAACAGGCACAAGAGATATGCTGACCTTTATTTTGAAGGCTTATTTCCCCGAAGTATTTCATTTATTATCAGAAATCATGACAATAATGTGTGTTCTAAACTTGTGGGCACCCCTGTATGAAAAGACTCACGGATGACCACAGCAACAAAGACAGAAGCATCATCGCAGAAACACCCATCCAATCCCCGAAAGGCTCTCACCTGTGCGATGAACTCCGGGAAGCTGAGGATGGGCCCGTTGTGGAAGACTGGGTAGTAGAAGACATAGGCCACCATCCAGGGAAAGGAGCAGAAGGGGCGCTCAGCCGGCGGCTGCTGCCAGCAGAGCTCCAGGCTGGAGCTGGTGTAGTACAGGCAGCGAACGGTCAGCGTGAACTGCAGCAAGTAGTACTCATTTTCCGTCTGGTACCACCCTCTCTGCAAAGTCACAAGGAGACAACAACCTTCAGTGGCAAGGAGGGACGTCATCCAGTCTCCCAGGAAGGAGATCTCTTCCACGGGCAGAGCAGCTGTCCCATCCAGGGAGTCGAGAACCACTGAACAGCAGGTGAACATCATCGATCATCAAAACAAGCAATTAATGAGCAACGGGCAGGAGAGTGTCCCTAACATCAGCCATAAGCTTCGCATTAAGCCTGATGCAACACAGTGAAGGTTTTCCCAGATATGCTTCTGTCAGATACACCAGCGGACAGCATGGAGATCAGCTACATCCAGTGGGTACTCTAACAGCTCCTTCAACAACTCTGAAGACAAAGACAGACTTATACAGGCAGACCTCAGGGTACTGCAGGTTCGGTTCCAGACCACCGCATTAAAGTGAACACCGCAATGAGTCACACAATTTTTTGCTTTCCCAGTGCACATAAAAGTTATGTTTACGCTATACTGTAGTCTAGTAAACTGTGCAACAGCCATTATGTCTAAAAAGACAAAGAACATACCTTAATTTAAAAATACTTTATCGCTGAAAAAAAGAAAAAATGCTGTTGATCATCTGACAACGCAGGGTTGCCACAAACCTTCAGTTTGTTAAAAAAAAAAAAAGCGATATCTGCAAAGTGCAATAAAATGGGGTGTGTCTGTAAATGTCACGTGCGATTTATGTGTTCAGCGTATCTTTCCTTTTGTTCTTCTATCATTAATTTGGCTCCACATGTAGTGGAAGACTATTTTCCAAATAAGCTTTAGAGAAACATCGTCAAAAGAAATAGTCCCTGCCCTCAATGTACCTAAATTCTCATACCGGAGATAGGTATGTAAAAGTATAATTACAACACAGCATGAAAGAATAAAAAGCACGTACAAAATTAGGTACGGAACAAAAGACTAAAAGCAAATGTGGTAAAATCTTAATATTGAGGGAATAAAATTATGGATCATTTTATAATCTTTATATTTTTCTATATTTTCCATATTTTCTATAATACATATGTATTGCTTTTTTAATGAGAAAATAGGTTATGGAAATAGATACAAGAAATAAAATTGGGACAAAGGAAAGAGTTGATCCACGAGGGTCTTTTAAGGCTTTACACTGAAAAACTAAGTACCAAACAGAGTTTCTATTCCATGTCCAGGACTTCAGCAGCCACCAAGGAAAACCAAGAAAACTGCATGTGTGAAAGTATGGAAACCCAGCGCAACTAGTTTCTGGTCATTTGCTCTCTCCCCTTCAGCAATATTTTTCACACCACCAGCTTACATAACAAATGGAATACTTATTCACCACCAACACCCATAACTGATGCTAAGAGTCCCCAAATAAAGGATAATTACAACTGGAGACCGTCTTTGAACGTTTGCCAGGTCCCCCAAAAGTTAGGTGTGAATTTGTTTTTATTTTTATCACAAATCTATTTTTAAGCACACTTATTTAAGCGATCGCCTAGTTTAATCATTCTGGGAAGTTACGTATCTTTGTTAGGAGAGAGGCGCTACCCTGCTTATTCTCTTAAGTCCAGGTTTTGAGACATGTGCTTGAAGTATTCGCCCCAGTCCATTGGTAAGAGTGAAGAAAAATTAAGGCAGCCTAACAACAGCAAGAATTCTTGAATTTTCAAAATGCTACCATTTTTACAAAATTGCTTAACACATATTATCTTGTTGGATCCTTAGAACAGCTCCATGAGGAAGGCAGAGCAGCTATTACCTCCATTTTCCAAATGACGAAATTAAGACTCAGAGGTTAAACACTGCCTCCAGTTTCAAGAGGAGAAGAGACAGTGAATAGAAGAGACTAGAAAACCACTGGCTCATCCTTCCCGTTGCATTCTTTCCCATGACTGTGCAGATCCAGGGCTCACCAATTCTAAGTGCCATCACTTAAATCAATGAAAAGGTGAACGAATGAGTGAACAAATGAACAAAAATAAAGACACCACGGGAAGCCCAGTTCCACATGACTAAAGAAAGAATATCAAAAGCTTCCCAAGGTGTTCTGTGCAAGGAAAATACCTGCCTTATCTGTTCAGGGACTATTGTGGCCTTCTGATGAGATAAGGAATGTGAGAGTTCCCTATAAACCGTGCAGCATTCTACAGAGGATTGTTTTATTAAATGCATAGGGGATTATTGCTTTTTTTTCCCCTTTGTTCCTGTGACATCTGGCACCATCCATGCCTGCCCAAACTGGGAGAAAAGGTACAAGGTCAGCGCTGGGCAACCTCCAAGGACTGAGACACAGTCAGATACAAAAGACTGCAGACCGCAACACCAGGGTTCACATGCATCAACCCCCTGTGGCCACTAGAGGGAGCGCCACCACAGTTCTTCAATTGACTCTTGTCTGAAAACAAAGGCATCTCCCTGGATAAAGGCACTGCCAAAGGGGCCTTCTCCTTCCCAATGGTAAAACGGAGACTCTTACCATAACTTCCTCCACATCTTGAAGCCTCAGTGTAGAGAGCAGGAAGAGAGAACAGAGCCATGACAGGAACAGCGACCGGAACTGGGCAACACAGAAGGAGATGGTGGTGTGAATAAGAACCATGGCTGTGCCTTGGGTCCCCAGCACACACCAGCAGGCCCACATCCCATAGGCTGTGAGGATCCAGGGTTTGTGCTGCAGACAGGGAGGGACCCAGTGAGAAAGACATGGGGGGTGGGGGAGGAAGAAAAAAGAGAAGGGTAAGTTAACAGGCATTGCTATTAAAGGCTCTACATAAAAGAGGGTCATGTCTTGTGACCCATTAACCAAACTGTTCTCACTGGCCTGGAGATTTAGTGTAACACAGACAAAGAGGATTCAGAGGGACTTTCCACATTAACCCCAGAGTGATGGCTGCCTAGCCCCAGGTCCCCAGAACTCCACCAGATCCGCCCAGAGAAAGGAGCCACTTTCCTGCCTTCAGCCAAAACCACCCAGACCACTGGATCCCACAACAATAAGATTTACGGCTGACTTTCAGCAGACATTATGGGAGCCTGAAGACAGTTCGAAAAGCTGCCAACCTGGCACACTAGCCCCTGCGTACACTATTCTACAAAACGAAGGTAAGATAAAATACTGGTGCAAATTTCTCGGGAGTCTTACTGAGAAAACTGGACCATCTAAACCACAAAAGGCTTTCTAAAGTTTAAACCAGAGACTTACAAGTAAATCTCTAATTACATTTTTATTTCATTAGCATATTATTTACAGTCAAGTTTGTGTCACAGAAAAAGTATAGCTTACCTGTTTTCAGTGATAGTGAGGCCTTTGCATAGTCAATCCAATTAATACATTTATTCCCATTTTAGGAGAGAATTTTTCTATTTCATTATCAAGTTTTATAGTTATTGACATTGAATAACTAAACAGATAAATTAACATGTCTTTGCTTTTACAATATACTCTTGGTCATATCTGGCTGGTAAATCCTTACTTAAAAAAACACAATAATGTTTTAACATTGTTTGAGAGGCAACATATCTTAGTGGTGTAATTGCTCAAGCTTTGAAGTCCAACTGCCTAAATAAATCCTGGTATCCCCATTAACTAGCTGTGTGACCCTCGGCAACTTACTTAATCTCTCTGTGCCTCGGTTTTCTCAGGTATAAAATTAGGATAGTAACAGTAGCTACTTCATGAGGTTGTCGTGAGGATTAACTAAGTTAATGCACGTAAAATGCTTACAATGGTGTCTGCATACACAGGAAGGACAAGGCAAATACTAGTTATTATTCCTATAGGAAAATATGATGTGGCTTTTTGGTGAGCATTCAAAAATAGGATTTCCAGGAATACACTGAGTTGAAAAGTAGGGGCTGCTTGAAATTAGGTCTTCCTGTGAAAACAAAAAGACTTCTTTAAGGGAAAGACAGATGTGGACTGCACACTGTAAATGCCACCCTTCAGTGCTAACTGTCCCAAAATATTGCCTTAGTACAATTCCTTACCAAACTTATACTCCAGCCTAAGAGAGAACATTTTAAATGAGGGACTAGGTCAGCCACTTTGAAGTTCCAAGAAAATCAGAGAAATCTGCAGTTCATTTTTACTATTTTTCCATCCTACTACCCACATTAAACAGCCACATAAATTTGCTTCAAACTTTCCCCCAAGCACTCACCTCTGGACAGAGTTCAGTTGTAAGGAACAAGGTCACCAGAGACTATTTTAAGAAGTAGTTCTAATGAACGAAAAAAAGGGAAGGGGTGTCTTTTTCAACTTGATCTACAGCATTTACCACTTGGAGTCTTTTTCCATGTGTGCATGGCTACATACATATACACATAACACAGCTACATTTTTATTGAATGCTATTTGATCCATTTGGAAGAAGCCTGTTGGGATTCATTTGGGAACTTAACCACAGACTTAAGCTGCTTCAGCTTGAAAAAGCTGGAGGAACCTTCAGGAACTACTTAATAGTGCTGTGCAAACCCCATCTACTCCAGAGATTCTCTGATTAATTTACCTGTGCTCACAAATGATACCATGGGGGCACACAAGGTTGTCCTATACTCTCATCCCTCACCATCTTCCTCCTGCCGAAGAGTAGAGGCAGACAACGTCTAATTTTCTCTAAGACATCACAGAAAATGCACCCACGTGAACCTCATATTCTCTGCTATCCCTCCTATTACACACTCATCCTCCCCAACGGGCAAAGACAACTCCGCTATACACATTCACGGCGGGCAGGTGATAAAAAGGGAAAGATGTGAACGATGCAAAAAAGAAATCACCTATTTTAAAACATAAATTAGAACCCGACTAACATTGATTTTTTTCATTCTATAAAGTGAATGCAATTGGAATACCATCCTTGAAAACACCACTAAGATGCTGATACAGCATGATTAGTCTTCCACGCCTTGTTCTCTGACTGGCATCAGAGGAACAGTCCCCCACCATCAATGCAGCCCTTAGGGCACACCTCCTCCGACCGCTATCCCCCCCTACCCCCCACACACACACGCGCCTAGACCAGCAAGAAGCAGGGCAGAGAGGGCGAGAAGTAGAAATGTGACACTGCCTAGCAGTGCAGGCAGCAGCATAGAAGGTCTGCTGCTCTGAGGAGGAGGGGGGCTTTGCTCAAGTGTTTCAAAGACCATTTTCATATGCAAAGGCCTAAAGACAGCCCGGTCCCACCTATTTCTACTCCAAAAGTGCTTATGTATTTAGTTTATCAAACTTGTGTCCTCTTTAGCAAAAATGCTTAAATATCAGACATTTGAGCCTCTGACATCAAATATGCCAGGAATCTTTTAACTTTTCAAAACTAAAAAAGAAAGTGTGTTATGTTTTATTCCAAAACAATACTTCTGATTCATCACTAGAAAGGCTTTAAAAATGTTTTCTCCAAGTTCTCAGGGCGATCTGGGCAGATACACACAGTTTTGGTCACAGACATAATCTATGTCAAGTTCAAGATTTAAAAACCTGCCTAGGGAATTCCCTGGCAGTCCAGTGGTTAGGACTCCGTGCTTTCACTGCTGAGAGCCTGGGTTCAATCCCTGTCAGGGAACTAAGATCCCACAAGCCGGGCAGCGCAGCCAATGTAATTAATTAATTAAAACCAATTAGTTAATTTTAATTAATTGATAAAAGATCTGCCTAAAAGTCAGAATAGCCCAATTCATTTAAGTTAAGAGGTTCAAATGACAATTATGATTGGAAACTGCTGTTCACTTGAAATGAGGCACAAAGAATCATGTTGATCAAGTAATGTGTACAAATAAAACAATCTTAATTTAATGTTGGGTTGTGATGTTTCTAGTTTAGAGATTTAAATTCGAATCAAGTATTATTTTATATGATGCTTTTTTTTAATTGAGATTTTTATTGAGACAGTTGTAGACTCTCCTGCAGTTATAAGAAATAACACAGAGAGATCCTATGGACACTTTACCCAATTTCCCCCTATGGTAACATTTTGCAAAACCAGAATATATCACAACCAGGATGGTGACATTGCAACAATCCACAGACATTCAGGTTTCCCCAGTTTTACTTGCACTCGTGTATGTGTGTGTGTGTGTGTGTGTGTGTGTGTGTTTAGTTCTTACGGTTTTATCACATAAAAGGTTTTATCACATATAGGTTCAGTGTCCACCACAGTAAAGATACTGAACAGCTCCATCACCCCAAGCATCTCTTGCATTGCCCTTTTATAACCACACCCACCTTTTTCCTGCTTCCTTTACCCCACATCCTTAATCCCTGGAAACCACTAATAATCTCTCCATTTCTAAAATTTTGTCATTTCAAAAGTCATACAGTATGTAACCTTTAGGACTGGCTTTTTTTTTTTTTTTAATAAATTTCCTTGTTTTTTATTTTTTGGCTGTGTTGGGTTTTCACTGCTGGGTGCAGGCTTTCTCTAGTTGTGGTGAGCGGGGGCTACTCTTCGTCGCAGTGCGTGGGCTTCTCATTGCGGTGGCTTCTTTTGGTGCGGAGCATGGGCTCTAGGCACACGGGCTCAGTAGTTGTGGCTCGCGGGCTCTAGAGCGCAGGCTCTGTAGTTGTGGCGCACGGGCTTAGTTGCTCCGCGGCATGTGGGATCTTCCCGGACCAGGGCTCGAACCCGTGTCCCATGCACTGGCAGGCGGATTCTTAACCGCTGCGCCACCAGGGAAGTCCCAGGACTGGCTTTTTTTCACTCAGCATAATTCCGTGAAATCCACCCAAGTTGTGACAGGTATCAAAGGACTGCCCCCTTTATATTGCTGTGTAGTTTCCACGGTGTGGATGGACCACAGTTTCTTTAACCCTTCACCTGCTGAAGGACATCTGGGCTGTTTTCCAGCTTGGGGCTATTATGAATAAAAACTGAAATGAACATACATGTACAGGTTTTCATGTAAATATGTTTTCATTTCTCTAGGATAAATGCCCAAGGGTGAGCTTGCTGGGCTGCATGGTAGTTGCATGTTTAGAGCTCTGTAAAAACTGCCCAACAGTTTCCCGGAGTGGCCATTTTACATTTCCACCAGCAACATACAAGGGACCCAAATGCTGCCTCCTCACCAGCATTTGGTGTTGTTACTATTTTTTACCTGATCAACTCTGGTAGTTGGACAGGGGGATCCCACTGTGGCTTTAACTTGCATTTACCATTATGCTCTTTTAAAGGGTATCAAAGCGTGAGCAACCTGAACCTGCATCAATAAGATGGACTGAGTGAACTTCGCTGGGGCACAAGAAGCCAGCCCATCAGAATTCTCCTGACCCCCTTAACTTTCTTTATTCCAGGTTCTTCAGTTCCTGATCAGGAGACCAAAAGGAAGGCAGGGGAAGAGGAGAAACTTTTAAAAGTTTAACAAACAGTAAGAAAGAAACTGTACTCTGTTTTCGTGGCAGTTGAGATAAAGCGAGACTAAATACTATGGCCTTTCTGATGGAACTAGGCCAGACTGAACTGGGTAGGTGAACTTGCCCTCGGTTCCCATTGCCCCCTGTGTTTATACTGAACCACTTCTCAAAACAGGGCATAACCGTCTCTCCTTTTGATAGGCTCCCTTAACAAATTAATATCCTGTCTTGTTCATAATACAATAATGTAAGAATCTTACATGGTACCTAGCACATAGCAAGTGTTTCATAAACATTGGATAAATGAATGGTTAGAATAGTTG